GGGAGGAAAGAAGAGATGAAATAATACCACGCACATCATCCACGGTATCGCCTTTGCCTACCGTTAACCTTCCACAACTACCATTAGCTACCTTCGATGGTGATCTTAAAGGCTGGAGACAACTCTGGAGTATTTTCGAAGCTGCAGTGCACATTCAAAACATCACAGACATTCTGAAATTGAGTTATCTGATATCAAGTCCAAAAGGGAATGGATTATTAGCCGTAAAAGAATTTGACATTGTGTCGAGAAACTACTCTGTTGTAAGAAATTTACTACTGGAGAAATATGATAACTCTCACATAATAAAGAAGGCATTTTATTATCAGTTAAGCTCTATGAAAAGAAACGATAAAGAATGGAAGACAACTATTGATGCGATGGAGAGGATCTTAAGGCAGTTGGAAGCTTTAGGTGACAATCTGGAGCATCCAGTATCGAGAGTATCATGGAAAGCAAGTTGCCTGTCTGGATATTGGATCGAATACTTCAGGCTAAGGCACAGACAGAAAGGTGATCTGTATACCAATTTAGAAAATTACTTGTTGGACATAGTAGGAAGAAGTAATAAAGTCGTTAGACCCCAAGCCGCGACAGCAACAAAAACAATTGAATATAGGAAACCTTCTAAATTTGTATACAAAGGCGAAACTTCAGCAGTCAAATCAACCGAACCAGCTGATCTGAAGTAGATTCCCGAACGAAAAAAGGCTAGAAGACCGTGCGTATTTTGCAACAAGGACTATTGGTATAATGAGTGCCATATTTATCCCACGCTCAAATTCCGTGTGGAACTTCTGAGGAAAATTACTGCATGTCTTAAATGTTTTCGAACAGGACATGCAACCAGTAATTGCAAAACGAAGAAACTTTCATGTTTCTACTGTAAAAGTCCTCATAAAACGGCACTATGTCCAACTAAATACAAAGAATCCACTCAAATAGCGGACTCCAGCAAAGGAAAGGATTCGACTACAATACAAATTTCATCACTGGAGATGGAAACCGTCAGAACAAACAAATTTTACTCTTATGTAAAGAAGTAAACGTAATCAATCCGAATCACTCAAAAATGCGACAAAGGGCGTTGGCGCTATTTGACATCGGTTCTCAACTAACGCTTATGTCTAAGCGATTAGCAAAACGATTAAATCTTCAAGGAACCGATGAGAAGGAGTTAAAATTTGCTTCGTTTGGTAAC